CTGGCGAGCCACAGCAGTGCCCGCCGCAGTGCTGCTCCACACTGGAGGGTTCTGCTCTCCTCCAGCTCCTGAGGTTAGAGTAGACGGTTCTTCCTCTGGCCAAGACCACATGGAGGTTTCACAGGTGGGAAAAGCCATTCTGAAGAGCTGATGGAGAAGCTCCTGGTTGTTTCCCTCTGCTAATATTCAATTTTAGTGCTGCTCTTGCTCTAAAGCATTCCTGACCCTCCACTGAAACCATGGCACATTCATTACTTGGCATTATCTAAATCAAGCCCATTTATATCAGCCAGTTTGTTTCTTACTCTTGCTCTGCTCCCCATGGGGCTCTTGAGTCCAGTCCCAGCGCCACCCTGGGCAGGGCTGCGCGGCAAGGGCAGGAGGCAGCACTGCCAGAGCGGCTCACGTTGTAGGAGGCGATGGGAGTAACTTAAGGAAGACACTGAAGGCCACGTGCTCGGACCTCACATTGTAAAGCCAGTCAGTAATTCCAGACAGAAGGAAATGGTGGTGTCAGGTTTTAAGCACCAAGCAGCATGCAGCATGCTCTCGGGGCTCAGCAACAGCTCCGCTGCAGAACAGCCTTCCTTGTGCTCCACCACCACGAAACAGGAGCCCCAGGTTTCAGCCTGGCTCCCCGATGCCAAAAGCAGGCTGGAGGGTCCCAGCCCCCTTGCTACTCACCTTGTGCCACAGATCACAAGTGCACAACAAGCAGCACACAGCCGTGGGGCTGAGCACCCCGAGGGAGTGCCGCGGCCTCCCCCGGCCGGCCCTCCCAGCCCGACTCACCCGTCCTGAAAGCCACAGGACATCGGCACTGTGCTGCTAGGGCAGCGCAGAGCCCTCTGACACAGAATGTGACCACGTGTCCCAGGCCACAACCCTCCAGCTGATCCAAGGAGCCAGCACCGGCTCTGTCTTCATCTCGTTGAAGACAAAAGCCACTGCGGCTGCAGGGTGCTGTGTGCATGGTGGGCTCTATTTGCTGTGCTGCTCCAGCCCCAAGGGATGCCGACAGAGAGCAGACACTGCTCTGCAGGCGGGGGACGAATCTGCAGTGCCCCACTGCCCCGGGAGCCAGAGACAGCGGGGGGGGCAGGGCTGGGGAAGGCTCTGGGTGGCCCCTGTCTGAAGCTGATGATACCCTGGAAACCTCCGCCCAACAGAATGCAGATGGAATTACAAATTGGACCTGTGGTGTGATTATGTGGACCTCACACACACTGGAAAATAAGTGTACGAGTCCTCTGAAGATGGAGGACACAGCCAAACGTGAGACAAAGGGTCCTGCCAGGCGGAGTGAGAGAAGGCAGTGTCACCCGGGTAGGATTCTGCATTGAGAAGTCTCGGGACAAACCAGCACTGCGCCTCCACCCACCGGGGCAGGCACTGCAGACCAGTGTCTGGGACAAGAACCGTGACGAGAGCAGATACAACCTGGTGACCCGGGCTGAGATGGCTGTGCAGATCGCACTGCCAGCTTCCCCGGTGCAGCCGCGAGTGCCGCGCCTGGCGGTCTCAGCTGCTGGCATTAGGGCCAGGGCTGCCAACAGGCGCAGGCAGGGTCCCTGCACAAGGATCCGCGCCGCGTCCTGCGATGCCCTTAGGAACAGCCAGGCACGTCTATGCTCCGAGTGGAATAAACACCCTCGCACCTTTCACACCCAACGTGTTCATACAGGCCCTGGCGCCCCACGAGCTCACTGCCCGATGTCTCCCCGCACGGGGGAACCCTGGCAGTATTCACAGGCGAGATAAAACTTAGCAGTGCCCACCTGAGAGCGGATGGCATCACTGCTGCCACCACAGGGCTCCCTCCGCACCAGCCATGGCACTGGGAGTCAGGAAACAGCCTCCCCCACCCAGCCAGTCCCTGCTGCTGGCTCTGAGGGTCACTGTGGAGGTCAGTCCCATGACAGCCACTTTCTCTGTGTAGAGAGAGTCGCGGTGCTCAAGCACAACTGCTCGCTGGCTGTTTCAGTCAGCTCTGCTTTGAATTCTGCAGCCTTGGTCCCGTACGCTGGCACAGAGGCGACAGGTAGAGGTGCAATGGCAGAGAGAACACGCAATACCTGAGTGATTCTGCAGAGCCTGGTTCTGGCCATCCTTCGTCGGCGTGATGAGATCCCAGATAAAACTCTTAATCTTCTCATCTCCCTTGTAGTGTTTGACGCAATAGACCAGCAAAGCCCGACAAATCATCTCCATGTCCTTCTCATTCAGGTGCCACTTGAACCGCCCGTGGGTCAGGATATCTTTCCAGCGTCCCCAGCTGGAACAGCAGGAACACAGACAGAGTAAACACTCCTGTGCAACTACAGACCCTGGTGGCACCTCTCTCCAGGAGCTCGCCCAGGGGCACGGCCCCGCCAGCTCCCCTGGGTAGGGCTGTTCTGCCCCCACATTATGGGAGCAGAGGGGGAGAGGTTTGCCCAGGACTGAACAGGGCAGAGGCAGGAGCAGACTCTGGAAGCACCAACTGCCAGCTCATGCTTTGCCCCCCAAACTCTCCCCCTATCCCAAATTTGTTTGCTTACAGCCCAGGTCCCACCAGAGAGGTCACTGCTGGAAGGAGGGGACACTGCAAGCAGGGTGGACAGAAAGGGGCTGGTGCAGCCAGCGGCCCACATGCACACTGGGGCAGCCAGAGGCTGTGGCCGTGCTCCCTGGGAGGGGTGAGACTCACCCGAATATGAGCAGGTTCTTCTCCACGCGGAAGCACTCAGCCCGCAGGTATCGCCGCGTCTTCTCGTTGAAGCGCCGCGAGCGTGTGGGCCGCTCGTCCGAGTCACTGTCCAGCTCGGAGAACTCCATCAGCTCATCGTCTTCAAAAGAGTTGTAGTGTTTGGTTTGCTTCCGCACCCGGGGCCTGTCAATGACCAGGCTCTCCTACAAGGGACAGAGGGGAGAACGCACTCAGGCATGGGCAGAAACACCCGCCTGCCATCAGGGCACAGTAAGTCCCCTGCCACCCCGCTGTGCTCACGCCTCTGGTTCCTGGCTTGCCAGCCCCGTGGCTGGCCATCACCTTGGGATACCTGTTCCAAAGTACCTGCACGCGGCTCTGCCCACACACACGAGACAACTCCTGGCCAGCACAAAATTCAGCCTGAACAATGGCAGGCTGAAAATCAGGCCCTCTGGGTTCAAACTGCCGACAGCCAGCAGCTGACTCAGCTCTGAATCATATTCCTGGCCCTCCCAGCACTGCCCGCACCAAGCACTGTGCTGGAGGCGGTGTAATTTCTGTGTCAGGGCGGATAGGTGGGCTGGAAGAAGAAAGGCAGCTTCCAAGGAGGTGCAGGAGGGAGCAATATGAGATTAAATAGCACGTACCTGCCTCCTCTCCTTCTCCCCACCCTGCCGAATGAATCCACGTCATCTAAATCTGCCTGGATTTCACGCACGTGGGACAGACACACATACCTCCACCCTCTCCCATTCTCCCTGCTAGAGCAGTGAGCTCTGCAGAGCTGCAGGGCCTCCTCCTTGCTGCTGTCTAGCACCATCTCTATGGCACTGCTGCCTTAGCTGGAATTTTGGCAGGCCCCGGGCCCCACTGAAGCCAGATGAAGCACCCTGCGCTCTACGGAGGAGCTGGGAGGAGAGGCCCGGGCTGCAGCTGAGCCCATGAGCTCAGCAGGGCCAGCAGAGAGATGGGACCCCGTCTGTCCACTCCTGCCTCCCAACAGGCAGAGGCACCAACCCTCCCAGCTCCATCTCAGCGCTCAGCTAGAGAGCTCCTTTTGTGGGCAGAGCAGGCAGGGGCCGAGAACAAGGATGCTGCCCCCGGGAGATGCTCCCCAGAGGCGCGTGGGGAATGTCCAGCAGCTCTGCTACCAGGCCAGGAGAAGCCAAGCACCAGCTCACCAGAGCTCTTGCTGCTGCGTTTTCCCATGGCCACTGTTGGGAAGGAGCCAATTTGCCAGTGAGGGGAAGAGGTGAGACTCTAAGAGCATCCATTTACAGTCCGCGACCCCCTCACCCAGACATGGTGACAAGCCTGCCAGATCCACTTGGCTTTACTCCTTGTTCCCATCCCTGCAGGCAGGACAGCCGGGCTGCAAACGCTGACGGAGGAAGGAGCGGCACAATCCAAAGCTGTCCCCACTTGCCCCACCAGGGCAGGAGAAGCCCTGGGCTGGGTGAACGTGGCTAGTATTCAGTTGGATATGGAAAATATCCTTCCAGTCAGCACCCACCGCCTGCTCCAGCCCAGCCAGTTCACTGCTCCCACTACAACACCACAGCCCAGTGCTTGCTCAGCGATGGCCCCCACTTCCAGGGGTCCCTCGTATCCACCCAGCTGGTGAGAGGCTGGGACCTCAGCATGCCGGTGTGCCTGACACAAGCCTCTTGACCAGCAGTGGCTCAGCCCTGTCCTGCCCCTTTTTCCTGTGCTGCGGCTGAACCCACACATTAAACATTATGAATAAGTCACAACAGAGAAGCGTGGTTATTGTGGCTATTATGGTTATTACCTTGGCATTAAACAGGACCATGTGATGCATAACCGATTCCAGGGATCTGCCTGCTCTGATGTCACCTACTCCCCACCAGCCTCAACCAACTGCAAGTCCACTTTGCTTCTAGGTCACTAAGTGGCTGGATTGCTGCTGGGCTGAAGGCTCCCTGCCAGGCCCATGGGTGCTGTGGCCCTGCGGGCCTTTTGCAGGGAGAGGAGAGGGAGCCCAGTGAGCCCAGTCACACGCAGCACAGCTTCCTCTCCACCTGCTGCCAGGAGAGCTGGGGCACGCTGCCGAGTTTCACCACCTCCTCAGCCATCGAGACCTGGGGTGGTGGGAGCCGGGGGGCTGTGGTGAAACGACTGTGCCTGGCACTGTGAGCTCCAAGAATATACAAACTCATGTCAGCTCACCAGGCCTCCTCCAGAGCTGCCAGGCCATACGGCTCCCTGCGCCAGGGTGCCAGGGCTCACGTGGACTTGGGTTTGGGCTGGGGAATGGTTACGCAGCCTTGCTCACCCCACCAATCCCCAGGCACAGCAAGAACCGGCACTTGGGCCCCTTTGTGCCCTGCCAGGGCGCTTGACAGCTTGGCCCTGGTGGTCTCGAGCTAGCAAAGGTCTCTGGGCTTGGTGAGACAGCCAGGGAGCCAGAGATCAGAGCTGGCACCCGGAGGGAAGCGTGGCACCATCCTGGTACTGCTCCGTGTTGGAGCCCCAACCCCAGGTGCCCAGGCCGCCAGCACCCAAGCTGGCTGGCAGCACGAGGCATTCATGCCTGCCTGTGCCGCGGGGAACTCCAGCACAGCTCCAGCCACGCACGGGCAGTCACAGCAGTCTGCTGGGGGAGCCAGAGATCAGAGCTGGCACCCGGAGGGAAGCGTGGCACCATCCTGGTACTGCTCCGTGTTGGAGCCCCAACCCCAGGTGCCCAGGCCGCCAGCACCCAAGCTGGCTGGCAGCACGAGGCATTCATGCCTGCCTGTGCCGCGGGGAACTCCAGCACAGCTCCAGCCACGCACGGGCAGTCACAGCAGTCTGCTGGGTTCACAAGCAGGTTTTTTTTTTGCATCCTCTCCTCCCCTCACATGCTGCCAGCCCCAACCGTTTCCCCTTAGCCAGGCTTGGGAGTAGCTAGGAGCACAGACTGAGCACCCTGAAATACCAGGCAGGCACAGCCCAACACGTGGCTAAAGTAATTGGGGCTTTAGCCAGCCCTCATGGGTCAGTCTTCCCTCGCAGTAATTCCTGATGCCTTCACAAGCCCAGCAGAAGCACACAGCTCCTGCCTGCAGATCACGGCACACGGGCCATGACCTGCGTCCTACCTTTTCATTCTTGGCATCCGTATCGAGTTCTGCTATCTTGGCCCACTTTTGCCAGAAGTTGGGGTCATCCAAGGAAATGTCAGTTCTGTTTCCGGATGCTACGAAGCTGGCCTGGGAGTGAAAGAAGAGGAGTGAACAGGGTGCAACCCACCACCCAGATGTGCCTTCCCCCATACAGAGATCCCTAACACATCTGTCTACAGCGCAGTCTCGCTGCCATGGGGTGTTACACTCCATGCTGACACAGGCCAGAGGGCTCTTTGTCTGCTGAAGGGAGCTGACCTCCTCTCTGCTGCTGCAGTCCTGCCTGACCCGTTGGAAACGGAGCCTGGGCTGTGCCACCTGCAAGAGGAGGAGGGACAGACGGCCCTTGGTGCCCCCAGCTGACACCAGCAATGAGCTGGCTCCTCGGGCTCTCTCCTGTGGGGCTGTCAGGGCCCCACGGCACACAGCTTCCCAGGGCACAGCAGCACCCAGCGTCGGGCACCGTGCAGGCCAGCAGCTGGGTCCTGCCACCACCCTGGGGTCTCCCTGCAGAGCCAGGTCCCATGGCAGCAGAAGAGTGAGGCTGGGGACAGAGGGGGGCTGTGCTGTGAGAGGGCTGTGCTGAACGTACCACAACTCCTTCCCACGCCACCGGCAGCCCAGGTCTCCACCTGCATTTCTGCTCGACAAAGCACCACACAGCACCGGTGTCCGGGAGGGCAGGGGAGGTGAGAAACTCCAGATCAAATAAGCTCAGCCCATGAGTAGATCAGCGCAGGACTGGATCTCCCCCAGGCTCTGAACTCATCCATCCTCCCCAAGGAGAGGCCTGACCCTGCCCACAACAGCCCTGGGCATAGGGTCTAGCTCTGGGCACGGCTGCCACGACAGGGGGTCCTCAGCCCATCAGAAGAGCAAGGCCTCCACCCCGCAGTGTCCAGACGGGGACACAGCAGCAGCTCTGCGTCCACCCACACTGCCGGCCCCATGACAGAGCACAGCCTGGCACTGCCCGGCATGTGGAGGCCAGCGCCCGCTCTGCCGTCTCACCAGCCCGAGCCGCCTTCCAAGGGAACGTGGAAGCTGGCAAGCTGAACCCTCCTGGGCGGCCTCTAATCACCCGCCCAGGCTGGTGGCCCCCTCCTCAGTGCTGACCACCAGTGAGACACAGCTGACCATGCTGCTGCCGTGCCCCAGCAAGGTCTCACTCCTGGGCACAGTGGGACAGGCAGGAGAGCTTGTTCTCCGTGCAGACATCTCTCAACACAAAGGTAAGAGGTCAGCCCACCATTACTGCCCTGCGTGCTCCCAGCATGTCCCCCACCACCCTGGGGGGACTCCCCCTTCCGTCCCGATGTCGCACAGCACACCTTGGCAAAGGTGGAGCCCTTCCCCTCAGACTGGATCGTGATGGTCTGTGTCCTGCGCTGGAGGATCTGATCAATGTCTTCCTCGCAGAACTTCGATCCTTCATCCTCCTCGTCCATGAGAGCACCGTAGGCACCCTTCCGCAACAGGTCCTC